ATTGTCCAGAAGTCAAAAGTGTGACTAAACTCTCGCTCGGCTCATGAAATAATATTACGTGTTCAGTTATGTCTACAGTTGACAGTTTTTATATTTCAAAATAAACTATATAAACAAACAAATGGACGGGGGTGGCAATGAGATCACCAATATCCCCGATATGAGCAGATATATTTATGGAAGTTTGAGAACATAAAGCGTTTAGAACGTTTAGTCTTGTTCTTAGGGCTATGGTGGAGATATTTGGATGGCACATTCACTGGGTTGAAATCTGGACGTTGTCCCCGAGTTTTCCAGACAAATAAACTCTATAGTACGCGGAATGCAATTCACTTCTTAGTTGGAAAACGAACAGGGTGAGTTGACCATGCTAGACTGACTGTAGAATAAAACGAAAACAATATGGTGGGTTAGATAAATACTATCATTTATAGGAAACCGACACACACTCTAATATATACTTGGACTTTAATTCATCCCATCCGGAATCGTTGAAGATAGGTTCAGTTAAATGTTTGTATAATCTGGCCAATAGCCTGGCTAGTAAGCCAGAAGATTAAAGATAATGAAATCAAACAAATAAAGGAAGTATTACTAGTGAATCAATAACCACCCATCCGAATTTATTGAGGAGTAAATGAAGAACCATAGAAAAACTAAAATAAGCAGTAGAAATGACGAAGATAACAAAAGTATTATAGAATTGAAAGCCTCTGTGGTACTGCCGTATAAGGAAGGAACGTCAGAGGCCTTACGTAGGACTCTCAATGAGGCTGGAATTAGTCGGGGTGGCATTTAAAACCAACCAACCAACCAACTCTCTCAGAGATAGACTTTGTCAACTTAAGGACCTAATGGATCCAATTAAGAATAGTAATATAATTTACCGAACACCATGTAATGACTGTGAGGTCACTTACACTGGTCAAACTAGTAGATCGAGTTCAATTAGATTATTGGTACAAAAACATTTAGCTGGACCTAGAATAATTGACCCTGCTAAGTTAAATAACCCAGAAAAAAGTTCAATCATTGCACTGTATTGCATTCACTTGTATGTAATCACAAAATAGGTTGGGTGGCACAGGGTGAGGGTATCAAAAAAGTAATATAGTGAGGTGGAATAAGAGAGTGGTTAATCATTAATTGAGGCCTTGTTTATCGGTTCAACACCGCACATGTACACTCGGAATGATACAATGCACCGTCTGTACTGCAGATATGGAAAGTGACAAGAAACAACAAAGGGGAGTTGGAGGGAGAGAGACCGAAAAGAAAGAAAATATATATGTAAGTCAAATTGTGAAAACATGTGACTGAATTGATATGATAAGGAGCAGTAATAATTTATGCTCGAAACCACCTTGTCATCCAGTTGTTAATAATACTGCATCTGCATCACTGTGTGTGTGTGAGATATTTAAAATAAACTTATCTAGGTATGGAATTACACTCTACTACCACAGCTTCTAACTTGTACACCTACATTTCGTGCACTCTAGTAGCCGTTTTGTACTGAATATGTCACGAGTGTTGAAATGTAGTTCAGAATGCAATTTTATTGCAGAACCAAATTCGTTGATAATGATAATAGCTTGCGATACAGGATGGAATTCTCAGCATTTTACTACAGTATTGCATCCAGTTAGTAAATTAACAATAAAATAAAATTCTACATAGATTGAGGGTAATCCCATTCGGTTTTGATAACAACATATTAGCATGTTGGTAGCAAAGCCAAAATTAAACAGAGTGTTTGAAGGTGCTAGAAAAGTAGGTTCTAACATATTTACTGGCGTAAGCGGGAGAAAGAAACAAAGCTGCACATAACAGAAAAAAGAGAGAGAGAAAAGGAAAAGAAAGAAAGAAAACGTTGTACCTATGAATGATATGAGTTGGAAAGACGAGATCCAGTTGTTCTACTGACTATTTAATAAGTTTAAGGTATCATGCCTAATGCTTTCTTTATCGCACAGAACACGAGCTAAGTAGGGTATGGTTGAGTTTTTGTACTTACTAGTGCAAGCATAAAGTTTTGTATATAGGCTTCTGGTCTGCCTGCCTGGTGAGATAGATACATGGGGAGAGTTGTGAATGAAGAGGGTGGTGTGAGTTAGATACATAGAATGGATTTAGCCCATTTTTCACGTGAGGCCAAGTGCCTGTCGACCAGAATAATAACAAGCTGGTTAAGTGGCATTTTGCTTACCCCCCCTGCTAACAACCTTTGACATCCTGCGTAATAAGGTATTGTCTTTCTTCAGTAGCCGGCCCAGGAAAAACTAAGGGGCGACAATAGAGAATAATAGGCAGAATGCGAGAGTTAACGAATCGTAGGAGTAGGAGTTGGGTTGGATTATTCCAGAATGTCTTAACTTCTTGACGTAGAAGGTAAGGCGGAATATTTTCTTAGAAATCGTCAAGATATGAGGCGACCGGGAAAGATCGGCAGATAGAATGACACCTGGGTATTTAATTTCTGACTTGGTTTGTATTTCCTTGCCATCAATGTTGCACACCTCATGAGTGCTAACCAGTTTAAGTCAGGTTTACGCCTAAAGGTGAAACCGACTGTCTGACATTTAAAGGGATTTAAGGTTAGACCATTTTCCTTGAACCACTGGTTGATTTCTAATAAAAAGGCATTTAGTTTGGAGCAGTCACTTTGACATCTGACAATCAAAGATACAGTTAGGTCGTCAGCATATTTAACAAAATAACGTCATCTGAAGATGGTAATTCATGTAGAAAGAAAGAAAAGAGAAGTGGGGAGAGTACAGCACTTTGGGGGACACCAGCTTCAGTGAGGACAGCAGAGGAGGATTTACCTTTGTATATGGTGTACCGTATTCTGTTTGAGAAGTAGGAATGCAACCAGTTAGTGACTCAGGACTCAGTTTGTGTCATCGAGAGCTTACTTAGCAGGAGACATCTGGGTACGGAGTCGAAAGCAGAAGTGAACTCGAGAATTAAGTATATTAAGTATAATAATCGTCAAATATTTCAGTCTTACATCGAGGCTCTAATTGACATGAAGTATTCGTGGTTTGTTTCTTCCAACTTCATTTCTAATTTTCGTCGGTCATTCATCCGACGATTCATGGTTTCTACGTTACACATTATTATACAATATACTAATTGAAAACTGCACTCAGTAGTATACTCCAGGGCAGAATCTAATATACTAAGAATATGAGATATCGGATGCAAATTGACCAATAAAGTCTGTTGACACGTTTACTCATACCCTGACTATTCCAGTTAATATTACCTATGTAACTGGCATTTTAGTAAAAGTAAGCCGATGTCTTAAAAGGAGTTTACCTCGTTAACTGTTAGTGACGTTAACTTTAAACATAACGTCTATATAACACAAAAACACACGAAAATATAATTCTACCAAAGATTAAACCCAAGATTAGGATATGTTACGTTGACGACACATTTGTAATAATCAAAAGAAACGAATTAGATAAAACTCACAAATTAATAAACAACGTCTTCAACGACATCAATTTCAAAGAGAAGAGGAATCCGAGAACAAAATCCCAGTTTTCGACGTTTTAGTTAAGCGAAAAACCACAGGAGAATTAGAAGCTGAAGTTTGTAGAGAATCAACTCACATACGAAATCCTGAATTACAACAGCAACAGTCCAATAACACACAAAAGAAATTGCATACAAACACTATTCAAGAGGGCCAGTCAGGACTCATTGCAGCACTCACACCCTAAGGAAAATTGAAGAAAGATATCTGATGGACGTCTTTCAAAAGGATGGATACGCGCGGAGTTTCATCGAAAGATATAAACCCCAAGCCACCCTATCAAACCAAAAGCCCCCAAGGAAGGCACAAAGAAAATCGCCGTACCATATATTAAGGACATCTCAGAAATCACTGAAAGACTCTTTGAACCTTTAGGAATCGACGTCGTACACAAACCAACACAGTCACTTTACTCAATTCTATGTCAACAAAAAGACTTAACGGCGAAAGAAGATAAAACCAACGTCATCTACAAAATAAATTGTAACGACTGTGGAAAGTGGAAAACCGTCCTCTTCGTCTTCGTATCCACGAACATAAGCTAGCTGTCAAAAGACATGACATGCACTCCCTCATATCCCATCACTTCATACAGACAACTACGGACATCAATTCTACTGTGGCAACTAGTGTTCAAATATTAGACAGAGGAAACACCAAGAATGCTGGAGAATGTGCGTTGGTGGCACAGTGGTTAGGACTCACGTCGACCATGCACATGGTCCAAGGTTCGATCCCCTGCCGACGCACAACCGATATCTATGGTCGGCCTGCAAAGTTTGGGCTACCGATATCACATGCTGAAAAATTCCATACCTGTGTGGTGAGAGCAGGCTGCTAGCCGATTGGTTGACACTAAGCTACGTTAATATGGGCCGTGAGAAAATATGAACAAGGCTGAGTCAACAACCAATCACAGCAAAGTTAACGTGGCAAAATATGATTCGCAGATAGAGAACTCTATTTGTCAAGGAATCCCGAAACAACCAATCAGAAGCCTGCGTTTGTCTACCTAACTTCTGATAAACAACCAATCAGATGACTGCGCTTGTCTACTTGCAAAAGCTATAATAATGTATGTGAAATATGTATAAATAGTTGTTGATTTTCATAATAAAACGATCTGTTGCCTGGCCCTTGTCTTCTGTTGTTACACCTGTACCAAAAATACAGTGTGGAATCAAGCTGTAATGAAAATTTTAAAAAATGTCTAGATACCTGGCATTCCAGTCAGTCAATAGACACATCAAGATAGACAAAATTTACTACCAATCGATAAGAAGGAAATATGACACATAACGGGTCAAAGTTCAAGTCAAAGAAACAATCACTTCCAATACAAGTAGCCTAGAGGATGTGAAAGCTCACAAAAACAACCAAAGAGTCGCGTTGGAAGTCACCACCAGGAGAGATGACTAATAAACTCGTAAAGCAATCTAAAGGCTCAATTCAAATTGAAGTATGCGCTGAAGATGTCGCCTAGTTGCGGGCGATGAAAGCTTCATAAATTAACTATCCAGCTTAGGGAACACAATCACATCATAAATCAAATACAACTTCCAGTCGTGTAGAAATAAAGGTCAGTTTATGGATTTGAAAAACTGTTTTCCACATATCCAAAAGTTGTTTACCGATGGTACTGTCGTCACACTCTTGTCCGACTGCTTTCTATCATGTGAAAACATTCAATTAAAATTGGGCTCTTGAACAGTATTGCCTAAAAATTATTCGAAAAATTCAGAAATCTTCACTTTCAGATCAGTTAGCTTGAAATTGTTGGCTTCATACTTCCTCCTTCTTGTTCAGCTTGGTTTAAAGATAGACTACATTCAATGATCTCTTGTCTTAGATGGTTCTTTATTTGATGTTACTGAAGTATGCATTCAAAGGATTAAAACAAATCTGTAAGTGATCGATATAGGAAGTGACCAGTGTCATGCCTTCTAGCCGCTACTATCAACCGAATCCTGTCGGTGAAACTTTTAAGTAGGACTTCCTAACTAGAGCGATCACCAAAAGCCGTTCACCCATAACTGTTCTTAGATGACTGGATGAAGTTGTTGAGAAACCCTAGAATTTCATAATGAGCTAACATCACTTAGAGAACTATTGGAAAATCAGCTAGGAGTACTGCCAGAGAGCCGTTTGAACAGTCTAGTTTGGGACTCTTCAGCAGCACGCACCCACCACCTTCTGGTTACAAGGTTAGCGAGCTATCTCGTCGACCATTAATCAACTGGAACCTGATCCAGCGGCCAGTCCATGAATCAAAATTCTGCCAATTCATGACATACCGCGACCACTTCGCAATTTCTTTTTCGATGAATAACGGTCCTCACACTGGACCTGCTGTACCCTACTGGTCACGACTTCCCACTGGAACCTCAGGTGACTAGATACCTGAATAGCATCAGTCGCTAGTGAGCATCTCATTAATATTCAAGGGAAGTCGTGACCAGTAGGACACAGTAGGTCAGGTGTGACGACAAATACGCACCAGGGATGACATTGGCTAGTGGTCGCGCCACGTTATGAATTGATAGAAGTCGAAATTCATGAACTGGTCATTGGATCTGTTCCCAGTGGCTTAACGGTGAACGAGCTAGCTCGCTGGCCTTGTAACCAGAAGGTGGTGGGTGCGTACTGATGAATAATCTCAAACTGGGCTGACAAAACAGTTGTCTGGTAGTTTTCCAATGGTTTTCCAACCTCTAGTCATCCGCACAAACAAAATAATCCGTTAATTCTCACCTGCTGAAACCCAAAAATATCAGGTTTCCAGATGTTTTTCGCACTTCACCTTAAAAATAAGTCTTACAAACACTAGTACTGAGAAAACTGACACATCAAAAAGAGGTCAGCTTACTTCTGCGCAGCTACATACCATTCAAACATAATGGTGATAAACCGACGTAAAATCATACTTCGTTAAAAATCCTCAGGGTTAAATAAAGTTGAAAAATTCAATTGCTAATAAGCCTGATATTGAAGAAACTGTCTAGTGTGATAGCAAAACGTCCAAGATTAATGATCAAAGTCAAGGAGAAGATCCCTTTTTTAATAGCTGTTATCAACCTCCTAATATCACTGCCACAAGTAATATCGTATCATAATGGAAAGAGTTTTTATAAATGTTAGGAGTTACACTAAATCTAGCTATCGATTAGTATATAATCAATAATAATAATGATAATAATAACAACAAGAATCCAACTACTTTAGTTTGAATGAATCTACTTGAAAGGCAATTACCTACATTGATCAATGCAATAGTAATAATAATAACAACAATAATAATAATAGCAATAGCCAGTGCACAACTCAAATGAAGCGATGAAAATACTTGCGTTTTTTCGTTGTTGTTGAGATGTTTTGTTTATCTAAAATGTGACTTTAGGTATTTTGTTTTTGTTTTGTATTTAGTGAGTTACACACTCTTCAGATTTGTCATACATCATCATCAACATGACGACCGACGATATCGTCATCATCATCATCGTGTATCGTGACTATGCTAAAATACATACTCTAGTATAATGGGTACACAAACACGAACGCCCACACACGCACACACACACACACACAAAAACCCATAGTAAAACACAAACTTATGAAAGTATATACTTTCATTCTCATTAACTCAAAATATTATTCTATGCAGATTTTAAAGTATTGACCACATATCTCATATTGGTATCCCTTGGTAGTTGATTTGTAATCCCCACCCATTACACATTTATTTTTACTGAAATACTAAAAGAAGAGAGAGAATAATCGGAATTGATGACGCTGCTTGTCCTAGTAGAAGGAATCATGTAATTATCTGGGTAAGTTCCGATATTATATATTTTTTGATAAATATGATTCCTAACTGATATCTGTCAGTCAAATTAGTAACCTGTGTTCCTCAACAGGTTGGTTTGTAAGGATATCATTTGTTTGAAGTTTTTGACCACGAGCTGCTATCAGTTGAAGAACCAGTTGAAAATCATTCAGAGAGTACCGGATGGCTATTTTGTCCTAGTTCAAGACTCTTCATCTGTTGTATACACCCGCCAACTGTTCGTGGTCGGATATGAGACACAGCCAATCTCTACAAACCGACCTTTGAAAATTAGTTTGATCCTCACTAGTGACTGCAACAGAGTGAAGCTGCCTAGAGTTTAAGTGAGACGTCGTGACCAATGGGGTCCAACGTGTCAGGCGTGTGGATGAATAATCACTAATAATATTGGCAGGTGGTTGTGCTAAAATCAAGAATTGGTAGAAGTGGGGATTTATAGGTCAATGGATCGGGTTTTAGTGACTGAATGGTCTACGAACTAGCTCTCCTTGTAACTGGAAGGTCCAGTTCCAATCTTGGTGGATGTGTACTTATGAAGAGTCCCAAACTAGGGAGAAACTGATGTTCAGTACTGCCTGGTGGTTTTTTAGTGGTTCTCCAACTGGCATCAGATCACCATCAAATTTGAAAGCTTTCTGGTTACAAGATTTCATCATGAGCTGATATTGGTTAGAGAACCATTGAAAAACCTGGGAGTATTGGACAGGCAACTTCTTCGTCCTAGTTTCGGACTCTTCAAACCCAGGATCTTTTGGTTACAAGGCGAGCTCGTAGACCATTAAGACACTGCAACCCAATCCAATGACCAAACCATGAATTCTAACTTCTGCCAATTCACGACATAGCGCAACCCCTAGTGAATGTCTTCTGCGAGTACGTGTCCTCACATCCAACCTGCTTCACGCTACTGGTCAGGACTTCCCACTAGAACCCCAGGTGACTAGCTACTTGAATAGGGCAAGTCGCCAGTGAGCATCTCATTGATATTCAAGTATTGGTTTGTAGGGATTTGGTTGATTGGTTACAGGTTGAAACCTCTCTTTTAGCAAACAGATTCCATCAGGTAGCTCTCGTAAATCTTTTAAGTAGACTATTTAGTGGAGTAGGCTTCGATCCTTCAAACAATAAGTGTTATGAATTCAGATGTCAGTAGCAATATCATTGATCACTGGGATACAGGCACATGCAGATGATAAGGTCAAAAACAGGGCGAGACACACATCCATCATTCTACACTGAAGTTCTTGGAATCAATGAGTAATTTATTGGGAATTTAATGCAGAAATTACAAGTTTCACTTCTCTTGCTTTAAAATTCGTGTGTACTTTATAATAATTTGAAGATTGGCTCTTTTGTAATGAGAAGAAACCTAAATGAATAAAACTTACCAATATTCAGTCATTTCTTTTTGCGGCTATGGTGTTTTTGATACATTGTGGTTTGTAGCAAAGTTTTTCTTGATAACAGTCAAGCATCAAAACGTCGAATAGATTAAGTGTGATCTGTTTCCCACGGAATGATGAGTTTCTCGAAGCGTATGATTACAAGACGTATTTATTAATGCCCATAAAATCATAAGCAAAGTAAGCTACTACTTAAGTAACTGGATAGCGGTAGGACTTTACTGAGCATTGCTAATTAGTGTTATTTCATGTTATCAAATGAAAATGTCTGCTTAGTGCCAAAGAGTTTTAAACACAGTTGAAACAAGACTTGTTTGATGGTGGTGGCCAGAAGCAGAATGGAAGCTACACTTCCTGTCTTACAAGGAACTTCCCAGATGGATGCATTTACCAACTGGCTAACAACGCTATTTTCACTGGGTAGACCTGAACCCAACTACCAACGCATCAAACAGAAAAGCGTTATCCACTCGGCCATCTGTCCGTAGGACCCATGCCTCGTGCAACCGGTATGATTTCTTGTTGGTATGTCTAGCCGAAATGATTAACCTTACAAGACTAAATGGATTACACGGGGAGTTGTAAATGATTAGAAATTTTTAAAACAAGTGTCAGAAAGGGAAAAGAGAAACGATTATCATTATTCCCCTAGGCTCCGAGTGGAGCACACCGCTGCATTAGCACATTGCCATTTCACCCTGCGCTAAGCAGAAGCTCTTCAAACCATCTCCTCAGTATCGCCCACGAATAAACAGACACTTCATCTTTTCTCATTTGGATTCTACTGGAGGCTCTTTATTCATTTTCTGATGAGAATTTGTTGGTTAACCGCTTGTTGATTGGTTTACTGTCTTTTGAAGTTCTTTGGTGCTTATATTTTTCGGCCATTCTATCTTCGGTGTGCGATGAAGGCGGCTATTGATGAAGCTCTAGAGACTTTTGGAAATTCTTTCCGTGATGTGCGCGCCAATTCTCTTCCCCATATAGAAAATTAATTGACCTTACTGTTGAAGGTTGTAGATCCTGTTCCTTTCCCACAATAAGTGAGTAGAACTCAAATGATCAGAAATTAAATTCAAATATGAAAGTGAAACAACAAAAAAGGGAAAGTAAACTGATGTAACTTGAAGAAAAATAGTTACTAAGAAGGAAGTGAAGACCAGTGATGGATGCATTGTGATAATTTTTTTATTCCTTTACGTTGCCCCAAGTGGAACATAAGGGGCTTCAAGATAGAGTCACCTTGAATTTTCGGTAGCAGTGGTGCTTATTTCATTTTACGGGATGGGTTTGCTAGCCAGCCTCAGGCTCAACCTTCTCCCTCTTTACCAGTTTTATTACTAACTTAGTGAGTGCGTCGGTGGCCGGAGACTTAACCTATAACCACCTACATAGTTGACGAGCATTCTACGATGGTACCACCGACGCAATATCCTCAACAAAGTAGAAAATACGTCAACTGTTTTGTTGTTTAACCACTGAGGAAACAGAACTATCCTGCCACTTTGATCTGAGGCTAATTGGTACATATTCGAAGAATCTGATATGAGCCATTCTTCTTGTCCTCCCAATGTAACTGCTGCTGCAGACAAACAGGAACTGAAATACAGAGTGTAGGCTAATATACCTAAAGGGTATTTGACTTAGATTATCCCAATGAGCAGAAGGTTTAAAGCCATAAGATTAGTTTCACCACAAGAAACTCCCTGGTCAGCACTATACCTGATCGTTCATTTATCAGCCTCCTAACATCATTACTTATGAAATCAAATTAACTAAATTCTTGACTTCTTCATGATCGTTATACAAGTGGCACTAGGTGGTTGCCCATTTTATTTCTGGCGTTTCTCAAGTAGCCTTTGTTCACTATCTTGTGCACCAGGTGAACTTATACTCCTGGCTCTACAAAACAACACCTTTGTTGATAGCTAACCAGACAGAATTTTATCGGTTTTAGGCAAGCATCCCTCCAGTGGGTAGCAAAGGACGACCTTTCATGGTGTTTTGTGCCACAAGAAATTTATATTTTGACCTTTTTGTGATAACAATGAGATTACAGAAGTTGGAGAAATGTGGCAGAGTGCAATTCCATATTAGATTTATTTTTTAATTTTAATTTTTGATTATAGCTTGATTTCACACCATATATTTGGCACAAATATGGAATTCTTAGCATATGATATCGGTAGCCTAAATTTTGCAGGCTGACCAATTGATATTAGGTGGTGTGCATCGTTAGGGGCTAGAATCCGCGGCTATGTGCATGGTCGGCGAGAGTCCTAACCTCTATATCTGACGTGAGACACACAGTAATGCAGTATTATATAAATGGATGACGTTTCCTGTACAATCTATTGCTAGTAATCACACCAATTCTGTCATACGGCTTCATTATTTGCTTGATATTTCTATTTTCCTCCTCACTTTGCCTCGCCGCTGTTGTGTATCGTAATTTTCAAGTATTTGTTTTGTAGGGATTTTCTTTGATTGGATGGAAGATTTCGTCATGAGCTGACATCAGTTAGAGAACCACTGGACAGCTGTTTCGTCGAGCTAGTTTGAGACTCTTCAGCAGTACGCGCCCACCAGGGTTCGAACCCACGACCTTCTGGTTACAAGGTGGGCGCGTAGACCATTAAGCCACTGGGACCCGATCCAATGGCCAGTCCATGAATTCTAACTTTTGCCAATTGGCGACATAGCGCGACCACTTCACAATGTCCTCTTCGATGAGTTACTGCCTCATCTTTAACCTGATATACCCTACTGGTCACGGCTTTCTACTGGATCCCCATGTTAGCTGCTCGAACAGGGCCAGTTGCTAGTGAGCATCAGATTAATTTTCAAGTATTGGTTTTGTAGGGATTTCGTTTGATTGCATGGAGGATTTTCGGGACCAGTGAATCGGGTCCCAGTAGCTCAATGGTCTACGAACTAGCTCGTCTTGTAACCAGTAGGTCCTGGATTCGAACCCCAGTGGGTGCATAATGCTTAAAAGTCCCAAACTAGGATGAAACAGATGTCCAGTACACCCAGGTTTTCCAGTGGTTCTCTAACTGATGTCAGCTCATGATGAAATCCTCCATGCATATCGTAATTTCCCAAATCTCCGGCACCGATGCTGTGTCATTTTGATTGCGCGTATTCGGTGTTGATTCAAAAAAGAAAGCTTCAGTGATTAACCTCTCTTTCTCCACCTAAATGTATTACCCATTAATACTTTCACCCTCCCTATTTTTGTGGAAATTCAATTAGAAAAAAATGACTGGTTTTTACATAACCAGTTTATATGACTAATATTCCCAGTTAGGAATGAACTGAACATTGATCCTGAACTCAAAAGTGTAGGACTAAACTCTCGCTCAGTTGATGAAATAATATTACGTGTTCAGTTATGTCTAACTTCCACTGTTTTCATAATTCAAAATAAACTATATAAGCAAACAAATGTGGGTGGGGGTGTTGACAGTGAGATCATCAATATCCCCGATATGAGCAGACATGTTTATGGATATAGTTGGGAACATAAAGCGTTTAGAACGTTTAGTCCTGCTCGTAGGTTGTGATCGAGATGTGTGGA